GTTAAGGGAGCCACCTTAGGGTTGGCAAGAGACTTGAACCTAGAGTGGCTCCCAGGAGCCCAAGGCGATGTCCCCAGTTAGTCCCTTGGGAAGCGGAGGATAGGGAACCTGAAATGACCCTATCCCATAGCAATACTGACGAATATCTTTCATATCACCATAGAACCTTCATCTGGTGATGGATGGAGATAGAGACAGAGACCCTATTCTTTAAAAAGAAGCTGGACTTTAGAAATACTATCTTTGGTTAAAGTTATGATGATCCTACATGTGGTTGGTACATTTTGTATCCCTAATGTATCCTGAACCATCACATCTTATAGCATGTATTCATAGACACAAACATAAGTTAAATAAATTTTTAATAATTAAAGTTATATTTTATAGTGTGCCTCCCTCCCCCAGTTTACCCTGAAATGTTTGTTTTGGGTCCTTCACTTGGTCGTTTTTGTTGACTAATTTGAAAAGGACAGGCCAAACACCTCTGTTGTTCTTGCCTTCCTTCTCTCCATGTTGGGTAATAGCAATTAGAAAAATGGGCCTGGCTTCCTTGTGGACTGACCTCTTTGCTTTTCACCAGTAACCCCATCCCACTGTTGCATTGGAGATCCTCAGCAGTGTGTCTAGTCTGGACCCTGAATGTTCTCAAGGGCAGTTTTCAAATTGAAACTCATTTCACTCATATTTATTTGTGGTTTTAAACATGTAATATTCAATTGCAACCTAAACCTAAATTTGTACCTAAATGGCAGGGAGGTAGGGAAAATAAAATGTGGTTAATTTTACTGTTCATAGAAAGCATGGATTCTCATTTTCATTGGTAACTGTTTTAACTCTCAACTTTTCTCTTCCATTAGGAAGCCAACTGAATATCTCCTGGGCTTTGAGGGAGGGTGGGTTGCAGAGGCCTGGTGAATCTAAACAGTAGCTCTTAATTTCTTCTGGAATTTATGTAATCTATGATCTTCTTCTTCCATTAGGAACTAGAGCATCAGAGAGGAGCGCTTATGAATGAAATACAAGCTGCAAAAAACTCTTGGTTTAGCAAAACTCTGAACTCTATCAAAACAGCCACAGGCACCCAGCCCCTACAGCCACCACAGGCTCCTCAGCCACCCAAGGAGAGCACATAGCTCCAGCCTCAGCCTAGCACAAGAGCACAATGATCAAAACAACAGAAACCAAGAATTCTTCCTGTTGTCCCTTTGAAAGAAAGTAAAGGAGACCAGAAAGCAAGTTAGAATCTGTAGTAGCTCTGTCTTTCGTGTATGACATTTTTCAAAGGGATGATATTTAACCTGACCCGATTTATGTTGAATATCTATTTCTCAGCTTCTTCATGGAAAGCCACATTTACATCCGTCATAGTATTACACATTGTTTTATATGCCTGGAATTTAGTTGGAAATAAGTAATCTAGAACTAAATGCTTTTGTTTAGAATTAATTATTCATAATTTTTTAAATCTCACATAAAAATGGAGACATGTTATTCCAAGGTTAAAATGGTAAGATCTTTGTCACAGAATTCTGTTTTTCAAGGGAAACCTAACTTCTCTAACGTTCCAGGATTATTCAGATAAAGCACAGTGTGGGACTGTACATGACCACTGATAGTGACTTCCAGAGTAGTGCTACTCTGAAAAGAACAGACCAAGGGTTGGCTTGAAAGTTGCCCCAAATTATTTTGAGTTGGCTACCTTTGGAAATGGAGTGCCAAGCTGGAGTAAATGGGCTACTGCACTCTAGGTAAATAGAGACTCAGTAAATGTGCAATACAGTCATTTGGCTCTGGCATTCTAGCAGGCCCTTTTAAGGACTCCACATGGGGCTCATTCTCCTGATGTGCCTTTGTATGAACATAGAGGTGACTTGTGGCAAATATATCCTCAAAGATGGATACTGTAAGTTGCAGACTTAGGGACCCTTCATTGGAGAAGTCTAAAAAAGGTCCATGTTAGTCATTGTACTTCAGTGGAATAGTACTGAGCCATTGGATGCTGACAAACTCGTTAAGGCAAACACTGATATTCTGTACTTTACTAAAGGCTGGGATATTGCCAAGAAGTTAAAGGGAGCTTCCTAGCACGTTAGTGTTAGGCAACTTTTCTAACTTCTCCCTAATAACCCTAAAATAATGTGCCCTGCACACCTAGGAATAAAGAAAAATAAGTGCATTTTTCACATTTTTGATTGACTAAATCTTTATAGAAATACTTAACTCATGGAAAGATAAGGTTACTGTTAAAAAAATTGGTGCAGATATTTTTTCAATTATATATAACATGCCTGTATAAATAGCCCTTACAAGAAATTCTTTGGTAAGAACAAACTAATTTTTCTGTTTTCTAAGCTATTATGGAGGTCTCTGGTCCCTTTACAACAAGCAAAATACTGTAGGTCATGTACAGTAACATTTATTCATATTCATCTTTGGCTTCATTGTTAAGCACTGTTTTCAAAGTATCTCAAACTGTGTAGTACCAGAGCGGTTCTCCTCTGTGCCATATGTTGTAACTGTAATACACACTCGAGAGGTAAGCCTCAGATGGAGCCCCACCACCACCACCTTCAAGTTGCTCGTGATAGACCCTTTCTTCTAAAATAATTTTTGAGTTCTAGTAAGTAAAATTTCATTAATATCTAAATGTCTCTGTCACCAACAGGCCATGAAACTGATATGGTTGATATGTTACACTTATTAAACAATAACTCCCTTATAGAAATTTCTGTTTTAGTTCTGGTGTCTTTCATCAGAAGATTGATTTCTTTTTACCAAAAGGCAATAACCCAGCACTCCAGATGTGTCTGTTGACATAACATTCCCTACATTAGTGGTTTAAATAAGCTATTTTTTTTCTATAAAATCTAATGGCTAGAACATTACATCATTTCTATCAGTCATTTAGTGCAGTCAGTTAGCTTTATTGGTACTGTGCACTTTGACTCCAGAAAGCCCTGGAACAGTCGCTTTTTCAAATGGCCAGCTAAATTCAGATGAACCTTTGTGAACCTCTTATTCCGTCCACAGCTCTTCTAACCTCTGAAAATAAATACATTCCACAGAATACCTAAGTTGCATAATTTTCATAAATGGTAAATAAGGGAGACAGAATGGCTCTAGAGCAAGAATCTTTTCCGGTTCATGGCCCCTTTTCTTTTTCTGTTTAAACAAAATCACCAGGAGCATATAATTTAAGAGTTAAATATATCTTTGAGTTTTCATCTAGCTCTTACAAAAGATATAATGGCAATACATAATCTTTTTTGTTCTCCAGTACCATGTGATACTTGGGCAGGCAAATTGGTATTTTGTTATTATGTTTAAACTGCCCTGCATTATAGCATCTTTGCATTAGTAGCAGCAGTAAAGATTGAAAGAAAATTCAAAAGGTAATATGTGATTTCTTATTCATTATTTCACCAGAGCATAACCCCAAACTATACATTCCTTACTATTGCTTGAGAACTCCAGAATACCAACATAAAGTTCATCATAATTTCACTTACTATTTTATATATTTGACAATTGCAACTTTTTTTTCCTTGAGACAGGTTCCAGTTATGTAGTCTAAGCTAGTCTTGAACTTAGAACCTTCCCACTTCAGCCTTCCAAATGCTGAGATTATAGGTAGGTACCATAACAGCCAAAATTAGTCTCTTGAATGCCTTATAGAAAAAAATAAACCAGCCAATTGGTTTATTCAAGAAATTTTCAAACATGGTACTTTCTTTCATCCTTTCCTAATATTTACATTATCATGAGCATCCTAAAAGTGCTAATATTTGCAGCATCTGGGAATGATCATTTCTCTTCTCATTGTGTTCTACAGAATACAGTGAAGATTCAACTCATTCATTGCCTTTTATAACTTGATAGTTGCAGTATATTCTCAAAGCTGAAAGACACCATGCTGAATTTTGGAGTGCCTATGTTTAGTACACATCCTGAGCCAAGTCACATTTTGGTTATTTTTAGTACATGTAATTTAATGTAAAGAAATTCTTGGTTCACTACACTTCAGTATATGAGATCCTATCAGAAACAGTAATGGAAATGCCACATAGGCCTACAGCCTATTTTTTTCATACAGTGTCTATCATCCTCTCACCATCTATTGAATTAGTAATTTCTTTTTCTTTGGCTTTCTTGAATTTATCTAATAATGTTGAAAAGACCCCTTTTGTACTGCTGATGAGATTTCAATTTTTATTTCATTTGTTTTTTAAAATGTTCACTTTTTCCTATAGTATATACTTATTTTTCTCCAACCCCTACTCCATTTCAACTATTTTCCAGTTAGTAACTAGTGGTTTCATTTCTTATCTAAAGTAAGAACACTGAAACAATATACAGGTGAGAGTGAACAGCAGATAAAACTTTAGACCTTTAGTCTGTTAGATCAAGAATCAGTTTTGGTTGTGGTGATACACATGCACAATCCCTGCACTCAGGAGGCTGAGGTACAAGCATGCCTGTGAGGTCAAGGCAAGCATGGGCTACACAGTGAATTCCAAGCTAATCAAGCCCTGTTTCAAAAAAAAGAGAAATCAAATGTGTAGCTAATATCAAGACTTAGCTTTCTTGTGCTTTCAATGAAATCAAGTCTGCTAATGAATTCACCAAACCAGTGCATCCAACATTAAGGTGGTTTCTGTATTTTAAGTGGACAGAAAGAACATTTAAAAAAGACTTAGTTTTTATCTTCTAAGAAAAACTTAGAAAATGATTGTATTACATAACTTATTCTTTATAATACTCTACAGTAGATGATTCTCTTGCTTTAATATCTAGCAAATGAGATAATGAACAGTTTCGTTGTATGGTTTGAATAGTTAGGGATGCGTCTGCGTGTGTGCACTGTGTGTGTGTGTTGAAATTTTATAGGGTATCCCTGTTTCTTTTGTTTATCTAGATACCATGCAACCAAATACACATTAGATTTCAAGAAATAGCGATCAAAACTGGAAGCCCAGACAGCAGCTGTGTGGCCTGCTTCCAATGATCAAGCATAAAATTCTGTCTAGTCTTTGTGCTGAGGGCCACACTGAGCATTCTTTCTTTCTTATGGTGGTTTATATGTAATACATGCAAGGCACTTTATGTTACCTATTTCCTTAACTTTCAAATTCTGCAAACATGAGGATCCCCATATGGACTATACCTCAACAAGTGATCCTGATCTCAAATTGTAAGAAAAGTAGATGTTTATGGAATTTAAGTGACTAGTCAGCTGTCCTGTGTATTATTCTCAATTTCCTCTTAAAACAGACAAAAACTTACGTCTTGAGCTTACCTCCAATAAAACATGCTACCTGCTATAAAACTGTCTCCATCAATGTATTTCCCTCATTCTGCCCTCATGTCTGGTTTATCATTAACTGTATTTGAAAAGTTTAAGAAAAATGAATCATTGAGAAGAAAATGACTTACTTTTTATTGGCAACTGATTAACATAAGATTATTTTCACTAAACTACAACTTTGAATAACTATATTACATATGGAGAGATATATTAAAAACTGGTTTTTGAGAATATAAATGCATCAAAAGACTAATGTCATAAAATCACAAGAATAAAGCTGGAGATGATCCCAGAATCCAAGATGTCCCAATGGCCTTCTATATTAATTTTGCTGTTCTTGACATTTTGCATAATTCATGGATTCTTAGTTCAAATTAGGAGAAAGATTTTTGTCAGCCGTATTCTTTTCTTTCCAACTCCTGCTTATGCCTTACTGAGGACATAGTACAAACCTTATGCTGTCTGTTTTTATGAGACATGGTTTTCCCCAGCATCTACAATGAAAACAGGTTAGGATAAAGGAGTTGATTAGTCTGGAAGTGCTAATTGACTATAAAAGCAACATTAGCCATCAGTCTCTTCCTCTATAAACATTGACCAGTTAGTTGTTTCCATAATGCCATGTATTATGTATAGTAACTCTATTAATGTAAATGTGATGCTTGTTAAGAAAGTGCAATTTATTGTACATTGTCTCAATAAATGTTTACTTTTATAATCGTTATGAACTTGAATTGGATTGGTATCTTGTGTAGATGTGTGAATGAAACCTTGTGAAAAACAAATGTGACCAAGAAGGTAACAAGGTGGCTGTTTTTGTGAGCCAGTGATGTTTTCAATGCTTCGTGTTGCCCCTTTGGTCCCACTAAACAGTAATAAACATCTGTTTTAAAGTCCCTGTGTCTGATTTTTTTTTAGCTATTCCAGTCCCTGATTAGACATGAGAACTCTAAGAACCCAAAACCTAAAAGCTAATAAGACCTTGAAACTGAATATGAAACAAAGAATGTAAAAACCTTTCTTCAACATCTAGGATTTGACTTCCAAACATCCTGGAAAAGAACATTTTTGGTGTTCTTCCCTGTTGCTGTGAGAATATATTAAATATAAAAGGAGAAAGAGAGTTTAGTTGGCCCACAATTCCAGGTTACAGTCCATAGCTGCAGGGAAGTCAGGGTGTCTTCCTTGTATGAGATGAACAAATTATCTATAACTGCTCCCCAAGTAAGAAAAGACTAATAAATCACACCCAGCTCCAGCTTATGTTCTTATTTTCCCAGTTTGTTATGGATAAATCCTGGAGCACAGTCTACCTGTGATCTTTCATTGCAGTCTGCCTGTCCTAGAGGTTCTGAATTTGCTTAGCCAATTTCTAATGTGTACATCAATTCCTTAAAGATGAGAGCAAATAACAGTAAAGCGTATGAGAAGTGTTTGAGTTTCTACCCATTTAAAGGTTAAGTTGGCAGAACTTGCTTCAGAACATGAAGTAAGGCTTTAGATGGAGGATTCAATATGACTCTTGAGCCATAATAATATGCAAATAAGAAAATAAGATGACAGGTGACACTTCTATATGGTGCAACAGAGTATTCCTATTTTCAGTCCTCATTTCTAGTTAATGTTTGAACACTTTAAAAATGAAATATAATAAAACATACATATGTTAGTTTGTTTTACTTCTTATATGATCTTGCTAATTTGTGCAGGCTGGACTAGGACTAGAGTTCAGGTGATCCTTATACACCTCCCAGAGTCAATTAGTAATTTGACATGGTAACACAGTATAGAAAGAAGTTCCTCCATCTTTCTTTAAAAAAATATTTGTTATGTATACAGTATTCTACCTACCTATATGCCTGCATGCCAGAAGTGGGCACCAGATCTCATTACAAATGCTTGTAAGTTACCATGTGGTTGCTGGGAATTGAACTCAGGACCTCTGAAAAAGCAGCCAGTGCTCTTAACCTTTGAGCCATCTCTCCAGTTCTATCCATCTTGTATTCTTGTTGAGACCATTTTATGTTTAACTAGAATTTGATCATTGTGGTGGTTTAAATAGGAATGGTTGCCATAGTGAGTGGCACTATTAGTAGGTATGGATTTTGGAGGAAGTGTGTGACTGTGGAGGTGGGCTTTCAGATCTTATCTTCTCAAGCTATACCCAGCATGGCTCATAGCCTCCTTCTGCTGCCTGTGGATCAAGGTGGAGGACTCTGCTTCTCCCCAGCACCATGTCTGCCTGCTGGCCACCATGCTTCCCACCATGATGATAATGAACTGTAAGTGAGCCCTAATTAAATGTTTTCGTTCATAAGTGTTGCCATGGTCATGGTATCTCTTCACAGAAACAGAAACCCTAACTAAGACGATCTTCTTGATGGAGAATCTCAAGGGCCTTATTCTAGGAACTCAAGGTCAAGATGCCCCAGCTAAATTAGCTTCTGGTAAGATTGCCTATTTGTGTAAATCTCCACTTTCAGCTAACTACTTAGCTTCTGTTAAACTGTATGCTTACACAAAACCTCCACCTGCATCTGTTGAGATATGAGGATGTGGTTTTGCATTTAAAAAGTACTTATCTTAAACACCCAAGTCTACACTAGGGTCGCAAATACCTGAGTGTAGTCCTATCCGCCTGGAAACAAGACTTTGAATTAGCTATTAACTGTGTTAGAGTGGTCATCTCCAGTGGGCTCCTTGTAACACTAACACTTTGTCATCTTGAAAAGTTTCTTTGTCATTCTCTTCTAGACCATAGGTTACCAAACCAACCATGCAACATTTATGTTACAACTCATAATACTATAACCTGTACCCAAATCAAGAAACAATACTGTTAGGTCTCAAAGAAACCTGGGACAAGTCTCAATCAGTACCTGTGGCTCCTACCAGCACTCCTCACCCTACCCCCTACCCTAAACCTCTCCCTCACTGGGGCTGGGTTTCTGGATCCCTTACCCCAGCCTAATCTCTATACAACTCAGTCATTTTTGTTATACAGGTTTTTTGGCCCAAGCCAATTGATGGCAGTTCCTCTGGTGGCCTGGTTCAGTCTGCTGGCCATGTTCAGCCTGGACTCTTCCCTCTGCCTGTTTTCTCCTTATATCTATAATAAAAATCTCTCTGTACTTTAGTAGTCATGTCCTCCTCCTTTTTCTTTCTTTTTAATTATTCAAATACTCAAACCTCAAAAGGTTTTCTCATTGTCTTTGTAATGGAAAAATTAAAAATGCTGCAGGATCCCCAGCAGCAGTAGGCAGCAGAAATACTGTTGGTCCCCAAGCGGTAGTAGCAGCCATGTGCAGTGGGCCCTGAGAGCAGCCAGTCCCAGGGAGAGGGCTGCCCATCCCAAGCGGTGGGTGGTCCCAGGCAGGGAGACACATGACAGGGGGGTAAGAGACACAACATGCAGAGTGAGGTTGGCTATTTATTCAAGGGGGTTCTGGAGGGGGAAGGGAGAAAGGGAGGAAAGAGGAGAGAGGGGGGAAGAGGGGAGAGAGGCAGAAGCAAAGCTACCTCTCTGAGAGGAAGACCAAAAAGAATGAGAGCTCAGGCCAAAAGCTGAAGATCAGCCTGCCTTAGCAGATGGGGGGAGGGAGTGGGCGTGGCTTCTCTCTTTTTTTTAAAAAATATTTATTATGTATACAATATTCTGTCTGTGTGTATGCCTGCAGGCCAGAGAAGAGGGCACCAGACCCCATTACAGATGGTTGTGAGCCATCATATGGTTGCTGGGAATTGAACTCAGGACCTTTGGAAGAACAGACAATGCTCTTAATCTCTGAGCCATCTCTCCTGGCTTGTCTCTTAAAAAGACAGCACAGTCATTAGTCTTCTCTTCAGAAAAAGATGGGTTTCATTTTTAATGCTACAGGCCATGGAAATGGTGGTTTGAAACTTTTATTTAAAAGCAGCTAAGCACCATGTGCTTTCCTACCTGATAAGTGATTTTGTATAAGTTTGTGCGATAAATTCACGAATATTGCAATGTAATGTAATTATACTAGTGTACTGTAAAATGTAGCATAGCAGCATTTTCCTCCAGAGTTGTTGATTCTAATCGCTTCCCTGGCATCTATAAAGCTGACAGCAGTTGCTTGACCTCTCAATGGGTACTGTTTATGTTTTCAACTGTGTTATAGATGTCTCTATACTGTCAGAAATTAAAATAATTTGAAACTAAATAGTAAAAGCTGGGGCTTTATTATTCGGGTTGCTATAACCAGAATATAGTTCTAAGAATTCCTCTACATTTCTTACCTAGGATAATTTAATCCAAACCCTGCTGAAAACAACAAAATAACTGAGGCGAAGGCAGTGGAAATCTTGTCTCAACCGCTCATAAAGGAAAGGCAAAAGCAAAATTTTGGCCACTGAAGACGGACCGCCTTCCCACCACGGCGCCTAGGGGTGTGTCACATGGCCCGGGCAACCCTTCCTAAAGTGCTACAAGATGGCGACACGTCAAAGGTGCTAGACACAGGACGTTTCCAGAATTCCCATGCCCAGCTAAAAACCAGAGTTCTCTTCAAAAGCCTTCCTCCCTTAACATATCCGTCCTTTCTGTGCTGCTTTGAGTTCGCTCCTTTGTTCTTTCCGCTCAGCATCTCACAGTAGCCAAAGATAAAATGGCGGCCGGAGAGCCCGGCGTCCTAGCGACGGAAGCAGCGCAACTATAAACACGTCCCCCGGGCTCCCCAAACCTCTGGGCGTTAGTTCCACGGCTACGTCAGGCGGTGGACCGCAGCTGCGACTGCGCAGCCAGGCTACGCCGTAGCGGAATGACGTCTACGTTGCAGGGGCGGAGAGGAAAAGGCATGACGCTTCTTGAGCATTCGATTTCTCGCGAGAATTGAGCGTTGCTAGGAGACCTGGTTGGAGGGCGGGACTAGACTTGGCGGGGCGGAGCTGGGCGGGGCTTCACGAACTGGCGGCGGAGCCTCGCGAAGGTTCCAGAGGCGTCGCGTGCGGAGGGCGGGCCGCCGAGTTGCGCCGGGTCGGTGTAGTTCGCTGTTGGCGCTGTGTCGCTCTCGGGTGCCGTGTTCCGCGTTTCCTGTCAGCTCCGGTGCACCGGTGCAACTCCGTCCTCGGGCCCGATCGCCACACCATGGCTTCCGCTTTGGAGGAGGTAGGGGTCGGCCTCGACCCTCCGGCCCGCGCCGCCCGGCGGCCGCGCCTTTCCCCGGGCTCGTGTCCTCAGCGTTGCCTCTGTCGCGGGTCCGCGGCCTCCGCGCCGCCACCTGCCTGGGCCCCGTGCGCCCGGCCGCGGTTGGAAGGTCGGGGGTGTGTCAGGAGCCCCACTGCTGGCGCGGGTCGTGCCAGGCTCCCGGGTGGGGGTCCCCTTTCGTGTGCCTGAGGTCCTCTCGGCTCCCGGTGACCGGCTAGGGAACAGGAGTCTCCGTTAACTCAAAGCTCATTGCAGAAGCTGGTAGCTCCGAGCAGAGGGCAATTGGGAGGAATTCCTGTGCTTCCACGACGAGCCGTGATATTTGGGGCCGCATTCATTCCACCGGGCGGTTATTCATTCTGTGTTATTTCTAAACGACCAGGGCAGTGCTTACGACTGACTTTAGTCATTTATTTAGCAGCGCCGGTGGAGGACCTGCAGGCCTTGCACATGCTAGGCAAGCGCTCTACCAATCTTTATGTAATAAACGCATTAAAAAATAATTGGAAATTTAGTTGTAGGTAATGGTAGGAAATTGCGTGGGGTCTATTTTTAGGTCTGTAAACTATGAGCGTGGGTGACTTGACTTTTTTGGAGCCTCAAGTTTTACTCAGCTACAAAATAGGAATGATTGAACTGCTCGTTTTCTGGTCTATATGAGTTTTATGTGATTGGTATATTGTGTTCACAGAAGCGTTGGCTATCAGTTAATATTTGCTTTTCGGA